CTTCATAGCTGTGTAGATATATTTATTTTATTTGTGTGTCATATTTTTCAGCCCATTCAGTTTGTGCTATTTTATGACATTTTCTGAAACATTACGTGACAGAATTTGCGACAAAACTGCCAGATAGGGTCTGACTTTAACGTAAGGCTGGATGGACAAATGTTCTCTTGTTGACATCTCATAATTAATTTGTAAACAAAAAATCTCTGTCACTCGCAAACCCCTCTATCAAACTGGACCTGGAGGTTGACAGGGTGTGAAGGACCTCGTTTGGATTAAAAGAGACAGCACCAAAACGAGTTGATCTGACACACTTCACAAAAGTGGACTTGTGGAGTTACAATAAGGAGGAATTCAGACCAAAGCATTGCAGCTCTGCTTCATATAGACCCCAACTGAATGATTTAAATGTGAAAAAAGAAAGATTTMAAATCCTGACATGTCTCCTTTAATGTGCTTGTGTTTAAGGTAAAATCTGTCATGCTCTCTGCCTTCTGTGTTCAGTAACATAAGAAGTAGTTCCATGACATGGGAGGATGGTCACAGGACAAGTGAAGAATGATTGTTTTGATTGGTGGGGGCAGCGTTGAAGGAATGGGGTTGTTGGGGGTCGATGCAGGCCATCCACAAATGACAAAAAAGTCTGTTAGCTTTTAAAATCGCACACACACGGCCACTAATGTGGTGTCCCAGACAGCCTCCGGAAGCATACAATTTCCTGTGGAGTTCCTGCAGGTCCCTGTCCATAAGTCTGATCACTCCCTGGGGGACCCTGGCTACTTTATGCTACTCATATATACCTACCTCCTCTTGGCCCAGCCCCCACCCACCCCACAACACATATGCTCCTTCATGCAAACGCAGGCAGACAAAGGAGCAGAGTTCACGCACAAGAAAGTTTCCCCGAGTTTGCATTATCTCCCTTTAAATGCAATTTGCATGTTTTTTTTTTTATCATGAGTTCGCCTGTCAAAGCTCAAATCCCACATCTTCCGTGTTTAACTAAGTTGGCTTACGGTAATGACCATCATGCACAAGGGGAAAATGGCCTGCAGCATACATTCGTTTCTGTCTAGTCTTCCTATTTAAAGAGATGAAACCATCTTTACTTAAATAAGTAAATGAAAGAAGAGGGACTTAACTGAACAGTGCTGAATTTGGTCTAGACAATATGACACATTTTGCTCTCAAGGCTTTTAGCCTTACCATTTCTTTTGCTGCTGCCTCAAGGCTATCTACCTGTTTTTGGCAACTTGCACATCCTTCGCAGCACAAACCGTTCTTTCCAGCTGCTCATGTCTACTCCCGTAAGTGCAAAAAACTGGAGCAGCCTCAGAAAACAGTAAAAACTATCCCTTTCTTTGTATGTAGTAAAAATGGCAGAAWTGACATCACATTTTAATTGTGAAACATTTTATCACAATGTAGTTTATTCCTTCATAAATTGTTGCAACGCTCTGGCTGATGTTRGGTGGGGCTTGGGAGGACCCCAAAACAATAACAAAGCTAATACTGGGAGGTAAGGCCAACCACAAGCACTCATTTTAAATAGGGAGCAGATAAAGAAAACATTAGCACTCCTTATTCATCATTCCTGTTGTCTTCCTGAAATAAGACATCTGCTCTCCCTGTCAAATGARAAACCTGTTCCAGTTTAGAAAAGTGAAAAAAGACAAAAGATATAGTTTTCCTTAAATATTATTTTATTGCATGTATCTATAAAGAGTCAATACAATCTAAAGCAATAAGCTAAGTTTAAATTATCCTTTCTTAGTAGCATAACAATGTGCATGATATGAAATATTTACAATGAAAAAGACACAGCAAGGTAAGCCATAGCCCAAAATTGTAACCTTTAGATGCAAAATAAAAACTCAAAACATCATCCAAATTCAAAAAACAAACTGCTCAAAAACACCAGGAGGTTTAATTAGCAAAAAGCGAGGAAAAAAAAGAAAAAAATTTCTAAATTGGAAGAAAAAAGAAAGAAAATATACAAACAGCAAACATCTGATTCTCAGATTTATCAAACATTATTAACATGTTTTTTCTACATTTGGTACCACTTTGTAAACTAATTTTCAAAGGTGTAAATATTGCATAGATGCCATTTGTGTTGTACCTAAGTATCAAGAAATAATTGTGTCAAGTATTAATGATTTCTTTCAATAATAATTTTTTCAAAATTACAGCATTAAAAAATATCCTTATAGTGGCATCCTTTTAGCAAGACAGTTAATAAAAATCAAAACCCAACCTTAACTGGTTAGCCGATAATTAGTGCTTTTGTTGTTTTAGAAAGTTCACTCAAACACTCAACTATGTACAGTAAAAACATGGTATTTAACTTAACACCTCTCAGCATTTGCTCAGATGTATTCTCTGTAGCTCTGCACTATTTACAGTATATCAGTATATAAGCAAAGGTTAAAAAAAGGGATAGTTCATATATTTTGAAGTGAGGTTTTGCGGAAAGTTTATAAATATCGTGTCTGTCATAGATAGCAGTTGAGGCCGGTTGGAGAAATTAAGGTAAATTCTGATTAGGCTGACGAGCCGCAAATCTGAACAAATTCAAGCAATAAAATAAACAACTTTACTCTTAACTCCACACAGACTAGTCATTAGCTTGTCAATCTGGTCAGAATAATAGTTTATAATAGTTTAACGAGCTATCTACAACATGTAAGATGTTAATATTCCACATTTCCTTAAAACCCACTTCGAAATATCTGGACACGAATTCAGATAAATAAGATCCTCCCTTGTTTTTTGTTTATGTTTGTTTTGAAGCTTCGTCTGTGTTTGTAGTTCCCATTTAGTACCTCTGGATATTTTCTTGTTGTTGCAGTTTGTATTGTTCCCCAAGCTTAAAACACGGCGCAAAACTACATTCAACATGTCTTCGTGTTACAATCTGAAAAAGTTTGTAAGAAAAATTTACATAAAACAAACAAAAAAAATAATGCAAGAGCGCGCAGCGGAGGCCATGGGTTCGAGCTATGATGGAGCGGCTTTACAGCAAGTCCTGCACATGTCACATTGGTGGCAGAGCTTCGCGATGAGGCATCGGGTGAGAAAAAAAAAATCCAGTTACTCTGTAAAACAACATTCATTTTGTTTCCTGTTCTAAGTCCTGCAGGTGATCCSTTCCTGCAGGCTGCGTGCAGGATGTCACAGGCGAGGCGAACAGTGGATTGAGACTTGTGCCCCGGCAGGTCAAAGATCTCTAAGGATTTGGGAACGTTGCATTTGTGATGCTATAAACTAAGGTCCTCTTGGTATCATTTAAGAGTGTATGAATCCTTAACATGCGCATAAATAAATATATTACTCTGGACTTTTAATATATAATCTTGTCATCCATGAGACAAGAGAAGGAAGTTAATCTCCGAGGCTGTCTCTGATGAAACATTCAGTCATTAGTTGATCCGATAAATCTTTGAAACTGTATTTAAAAGGTCTAAACAAAGATGAAGGCTGACGACTTGAGTAAGGCTTTGATTGATGGTCTATTTTTTTTCTTTTTTCATGTTGTCTTTAACATTCACCCCTGAAAATAAATATTCATATATATTTTAACTGTGTGACGTGGTGCTGAGGTAGGGTTTTCTTTTTTTTTTTTTAAGCAAAGGTTAATTGTGATTTTTGAATACGTTCTTAAATGCTGTCTCTTTTTGCAGTACTATCTTGTATACAAATTTCTCCACACACTTTTCATTTGATGGATACGTACAGGATAAATAAATAAATACACGTCATCAGTATTCATGAAAGGTTGTTGTTGTTTTTCCGCGCATACATATGCTCTCCAGGTTTGGTTCACAGGATCTCTGGTGAGAATATCTGGTAACTACTGGCTGGAGCCAAAAGGGAACCAGTTAAAAGTGTGGAAATGGTCATTAAAAACAAAACAAAAATAACACATTAAAACTCATTAATAAAATATTATACTGCAGACGTATTTAAAGGCTTATGTACAGAGATTCATCTTAAGTTAGAATCTGTTTTAAGTTCTTGTGTTTTCATCTAAGCACTACAGCAGCAACGACACCTGAATGTTTGGGTGTCAAGGGGAAAATGGGGAGGGGGGGGGGATTTGGAGCAAGGGTCAAGTGTCTGAGTTTCTATGGCGACGGGTGTCCTCCGTGACCCTGGGAAGCAGCGGCGAGGTGAAGAGACGTCAACTTCGGCGCGGGGTTCAGCTGTCGCAGTGGTGACCTCGTCATCTGGCTGCAATGAAATTTTACTATCACAAGAAAAAAGGAGGACGAAGGGAAGGAGGAGGAGGAGGGAGGAGGGAGGAGCCCATCAGTCTTCATTCTGAGGGAAGAAGAACAAAAAAAAGAAAGGGGGTTAGCATTCCAGATAAATTAGATTTCTTGTTTAATCCTAACAGTTTATTGATGCGATAACAGGAAAAAAGGCCAAWACGGACACACCCACTGTTTCCAAACGGACCAAATGCTCTCCGAGGGGGTTCTGGTTTGTGWTTGCAAGCGTGTGTGTGCGTTGGGATGGGAGGGTGTGTTTCTCAGCTAGTACACACTGAAGTGGCAGGTGTTTTCGTGGCAGGGGGAAAAACAGTGTGGCATTTAGCACCGCACAGCTGAAACAGAGGCAGCCTCCACCAATGATATTTCACAAAATACGACCAGAGATATGTTGTGTGTTAAAAAACACATCAGTGCTGCTTCACTTCCAGTGGAAAGCTGTCCTGACCCCTTTGCCCCTGTGTACATGTTTGTGGGGTTTCATTTGCATGCAGAGCTATCAAATGGGAGCGGAAGTCTTGGCTGGCCAACACACACACACACACACACACACACACACACTCACACAGAGAACGGCTGCATTTCTTCTCTCATCTTCCTGACTGTGAACAAGAGCTGTTTTCACAAAGCTGGATGTGATCATCATTCTCTAAAACAAACCTTTCATTCAGAATCCTCTGGTATAACGCCCACTCCACTCCACCGCCCCCACCTCTTCCTCAACTCTTCCCACCATAAACATGCAAACACACGCACGTTACTGTATCCTATCTCCACAATGTACTGTAAGTGCGCTCTGCAAAAGTCAAATGCGATGCCAGTGTTGGTCCTAAAAAGGTAAAGGGTGAGGGGACGACACGTGGAAGCAGTTTAGGAGCATCTGAGACACAAACCATGGGAGCATTTGAACAACAGAATAATTGATTTCACTCCTGAGGCCACCTGTGCTGCCGGAGCTCTGCTTCCTCATCAGGAAAAAAAAAAAAGGACGCCGGAGACCCGAAGAAACAGAAACACAGGGGTGGGAAGTGGTGGAAAAACCACAGTAACAGAATCAACCTGACAGAGGGGAACGGGAATGCAGTGAGGTCATGGGACCGACAGACCATAACAATCCAAATGAGAGCGTGTATGTACTTGTATCTGCTACAGAGTGAGGACCATTTGCAAAATAGTTACTATCAAAGTGAGGTCTTTGATGTAAAGTGAGGAAGGACCTTGTACTGGTCCTCACTTTTTTTTTTTTGCAGCTCTACTGTGCTTTACTGGTTAGGTTTAGAGGTATGGTGTGAATTAAGTTTTGGTTCAGGTTAGGTTTAGGAATAGACCAGTGATGGTTAGGGTTATGGAAAATGTCTGGGGCACGTTTTTGCTATATCATGGGAAMCATTTTCCAGAAAAAGGCAGCCTTGTGGGGACCGGATGCTAATTTCGGATGGGGGTTAGTTTTAGGACCAAGGTGTGAGTTGAGTTTAGGTTAGTTTTAGGGTCAGTAGGTACCTGTGAGGTTACTTTTAGGGTAAATGGTTATGGGTTATGCTATAAAATTACAAAAAATGAATGGTCCTGACAAAGATTTAAAAAACAAACCTGTGTGTGTGTGTGTGTGTGTGTGTGTGTGTGTGT